GGGTGGGGGGGGGTTTGGGGGGGTTTGGGGGGTTTGGGGGGAGGTTCGAGGGGATTTGGGGGAGATTTGGTGGTTTGGGGGAGTTTCAAGGGGATTTGGGGGGGTTTGGGGGAGATTTGGGGGGTTTTGGGGGAGGTTCGAGGGGGTTTGGGGGGATTTGGGAGAGGTTCAAGGGGATTTGGGGGGTTTTGGGGGAATTTAGGGAAGTTTTGGAGGAATTTCAGGGGGACTTGGAGGAGTTTTGGCAGGATTTTGGGAGTTTTGGAGGGATTTGAGGGGATTTGAGGGGGTTTCAAGGAGATTTGGGGGAGTTTTGGGGGGATCTGGGGGCATTTCGGGGAGTTTTTGGGGAGTTTCGAGGAGATTTGGGGGAGTTTTGTGGGGATTTGGGGAGCCAGGGCAAGGCTGTACCAGGGAATCCCTGATTTGGGTCATCCCCAAGGGGATTTGGGGGACCCCCAGGAAGATTTGGGAATCCTCAATGCCCCAATTTTTACCCCTTTACCCTCCTTTGGCCTCCCCACTCCCCAAAACCCCCAATTTCCCCCCAAAACTCCAAATTCCCACTCCCTCCCCACTTTTTCTCCCCAATTTCCCTTTCCCACCCCCCAATCTCCCCCTCTTCCCTCCCCATTTTCCCTCCCCAAACGCCCCAAAAAACCCCAAAAAATCCCCAAAAACCCAAAAACTCCCCCCAAAAAAACCCCAAAACACCCAAAAAAAAACCCCCAAAAAACCCCAAACCCCCCAAAAAACCCCAAAATCCCCTCCCCAGACCAAATGTGACCTCCGGCACCCCCCTGGGAACGAGATTTATCGCAAGGGCACCATTTCCTTCTTCGAGATCGACGGCCGCAAGAACAAGGTGAGAGTTGGGGGGTGGTCCCGGGGAGGGGGGGGGTCTCCCCCCATCCCAACATTCCCGGAGTCATTCCCGGCATCTTTTCCCAGAGTTATTCCCAGAATCTCTGCCTCCTGGCCAAGTGTTTCCTGGACCACAAGACCCTTTACTACGACACCGACCCCTTCCTCTTCTACGTCATGACCGAGTACGACTGCAAAGGTTTCCACATCGTGGGCTACTTCTCCAAGGTGGGGGGGCCCGGGGGGGGATTTGGGGGGGATTTGGGGTCGTTTTGGGGGG